CTATATTGGATCACTCCAACATATTCACCATTTAGTACCTTTATATACTGATTTAATAATTGACTGAATGACTGATATTGAAAGGAATAAATGGATTAGGTATTGGAGCTTGGAATATTGGTGCACTCGAATCGGACTATCCGTAGGGGCCACTAACAATACTTGCACCATCAAAGGCCTCATTGCTGCTCTTTGTTTCCACCAAATGTTCGAAGGCATGGGACTCGGTGGCTGCATCCTCCAGGTCATCTAAACCAGTTTCAATTCGATTTTGTTTCTCCAAAGTTTGTGTTTCTGGAATAAATTGACTCATGAGATGTCTTCGAGTGGTAACGCAGAAATAGGATAACTACTATAGTTACTAAATTAATTAGTAATACATAAGATGAGAGTTTGTGAACAACTGCAGGCAAAGTACGGGCAGGTGAAAAAGGCGGTAATGGCCTTCTTTTTTGCGGTCACAATGCCTTCCGGGGTGGTTTTAGGAATGGCTTTATCTAAAACGTACAAAGAGAATAGCCCTAACTCACTCATAACGGTTGGACTGCTCAACGCTTCTTCAGGTGGACTACTCATCTACATGGCTTTAGTGGACCTTCTAGCGGCAGATTTTATGGGTCAAAAGATGCAGCAGAGCATTAAGCTTCAGATGAAGTCATATGCCGCTGTTTTGCTTGGTGCCCGTGGCATGGACGTCTTGGCTAAGTGGACTTGATGATGTGCCAATAATGGTACCTTTGACTCTTTATTTTCTTCTCTTTTGTACATATACAAGCAACGGCGGACCTATGTTCAGCAAAGGTGGGTCAACTGACCCCCCTAAAATTATGAAAGCAGTCCTTAGTTCTAGCAATTATCACTAATTGATAACTTCATTAGTTCCTTTTTGCACCCCCTATTTAAATTGTGAGAAATGGTCTCATATAGCCCTAAATGAAGTTTTTGTGACAAAAATAGTATCCCCAAGTTTATTTGACAAAAATAGCACTTTTTAACCTTATTTTTGATTTTTAAGAATTAATTAAATTAATTAAGATAAGAAACAGAAAATAGCACTGAAATTAAACACACCGACGGAGAGTTTACAATTGTGATTTCTGGTGAAGCTTCCGATCTCGGATTTTCAATTCCGGTGAAGATTATGATCATCTCCGATATTCAATCTCAATGAAGCTTCCGATCGCATAGCTTCAATCATGTCCTAAATCGATTACCATTTCTCTAATTTCTTTTTCTTCTTCACAAATCGTGTCGAATGTGGAATCTGATTGTACCTCTACGAATCGTGATGGACTATGTGGTTTGTGAGTGTAGCTCTAGATTCGTGAGTGTAGCTCTCGATTTTGTTGGTGTGGATATAGTTTGGTCCTCGATTTGATTAGCTTCTCTAAGATTTCAATTAATGAAGAAGAGATTAAGCTTTCACGTGATGTAGCAGACGAGAATATTGGAGTTTGAGGTCCGGTGAAGAGACAGAGACCTAGAGAATGGATGGTTCCATCAACACCTACGGCAAGAGCTTATGGGTAAAACAATCACTCGTTACTTATTAGGTTAGATAGAATCTATGAAGCAATGATATGTTGCTTAATTGGTTTAGATAAATTCTTTTGTTGAAACAATTTTAACAAGTTGAATTTTGTGAAGTGTGAAGGTTTTTCAATTTTAGGAGCTGCTCTTGCTTGGAGAGTTGTTAAAGAATCTACCTATAGGATGGTAAATGAGACACCAATGACACAAGACAATCAACCTGCATTATCATCTTTCATGTCTAAAGAAAATGCAGAAAGATTAGCTCTTGGATTGTGTGAAATGCGTGGAACTGCTCTTAAAGTTGTGAAAATGTTGAGTATACATGATGAGAGTTATTCCTGCTCTGATAAATATCAATCCAAACCATTATTGTTTTGTGGAAGCTGAAGCTATGTGGAAATAGTTTTGAGATCAAAGAGATTGTTGAGAAGATATTTGTTAAGAGTAAGAGAAGTTCGTCTTCGTCATAGATTTCAATCGTCGGTTTCTTCGGCTTGTAGTTTGCAGGTTTTCTACAGGTAGAATCTGCAGCTAATGCTTTGTCAAAAGTTTGCTACAATTTTCCATCGTCATGCAACTAACAAATCCAAAGTTGGCTACATAGATGCTGATTTCAGAAATTTAGGTAGACCTTCCTAAACTTCAAGGGCGTCTTCCTAAACATTATGAAATCTTTCCTAAATTTTTTTAAATGTGTTGTTGAGTCTCTTTATTGATGTGTTGTAATGTATCAAAGATTACTCCATCAGTGAGGGGTAATGTACATACAAATTACAAATCCGAAGTTGGCCACATAGAGGTTGTTTTCAGAATTTTAGGTAGACCTTCATAAACTTTAATGACGGCTTCCTAAACATTATGAAATCCTTCCTAAATTATTAAAAATGTGTTTTTGAACTTTTTATTTATGTTTTGTAAAAATGTATCACATATTACTCCATTAGTGATGGGTCATGTATCACAAACTCATCAATGTCACAAGTTTAGGAAGGCCTACCGAAATCTCAAAGAGTTCTTCGTAAATTATTTCATGTTCATATACATTTATTTCTATGCTATCTTCGAATGAATAGCTTGGCTTATCAGTTACCTGCTCTAGTACAAAACTCAATGTCTTGGGTTCAATTCCATGTTAGGGTGTGTGTATACTTTTCTGATGAAGGCCTTCCTGAAATTCGAGAAATCTTTCCTAAATATCTAGAGAAAGTATTTGATAAGCGTTTATCTTTTTTTCTCTATCTTTGATAAGCGTTTATTCAGGAAGACCATCATGAATTACTATAATTCCTTCCCGAATTAGTCTAAATAAGTTTTTAGGGAAGTCTTCATGAATTTTCAATAGTTATATCACCAACATCATATTTAGGAAGACCTTCCCGAATTACTAGAAGTCATTCCCGAATCAGGAAGACCTTCCCAAATTACTATAAATTCTTCCCAAATTACTATAAATCCTTAGTGAGCAATGAAACTAGAATCACATTGTGAGAATCAATGAAACAAATCAATACACAACACCAAAGTCGAAACCACAAAACTAAAAAGAAATCAACAAAGACGTATATCTCCATTCTAGAATGCAAACTAAAACAACTCTATCAAGCAAAGAGAACAGAAAATGACAACACAGAAGCAAGTAGAAAATGTTTATTCATATCTTCAATTCACAAACTTGCAGATATAGCAAACACAAATCCAACAAAAGCATGCCTAAACAACTTCGTTAAGCAAATCAAATGATATACAAAGCCAGCCACTTTAAGAACATGAAAGGGATTGATCTTTAAAAGCTAACAACTTTCAAAAACCCGATTGAATGAGACTAGTGATTTGCAATATGCATCACAATGTTCCGGTTTTGGATGAGACTAGTGATTTGTTCCGCAGGTTTATGCAGAAGAAACGAGATGCGTTGTTCGATAGCAAGAAGATTGAGATCTATGAGGAGTTTGACACGGTTGCATATTGGAAACAGAAGGCGTTGAATCTGGAGAAAATGCTTGAGGCAAGTACTGAGAGAGAAAGGAGACTAATCGAGAATAGCTGAGTGAGGGTTGAGGAAGGAGAAACGTGATTGGGTTAAGTCGACGAGATTAGGTCGACTGGGTTGAGTCGAGGAATCGTGGAGGCAGTGGTTCGAGATACCGGAGGAGATCGAATTTTCCGACGATCGGAGGCAGCTATGGAGAATCGGAGGCAAACAAGAATCGTCGGGTGAAAGAGATGAGAATTAGGTTTTCTGTATTTTCTATTTTTCAATTAATGGTTATTAAAAAGTATTTGGTGCTATTTCTGGAAATTATGAAATATGAGGCTATTTTTGGAAGAAAAAACTTTTTTGGGGCCATTTGTGTAAATTGCCCTTAAATTGTTTTCTTATGCATCCATAATGAGTTTTTTTGCACTCATTATTTTATTCATTTTATATCTAGTTACCTTGTTTAATTTGTTCTTTTCCAAAAAAAACATCATTCTTTATGTATTTTGATTAAAAAAAATCTAAAATTTCAAAAAAATACAATTTTTATTAATACATACAGAAAATTAATTATGTAATTTTTATCTTCTTAACAAAGCTAACAATATTGACCCCGGTAAAATATATTTCTAGGTCCGCCACTGTCTACAAGTGGATGTGAGATATATGTCAATGAGATAATCTGATCCAAGCTCTAGTAACCGGTTACTTAATACTCCCTCAGTCCCAACTCCCAAGACTTCTTTTTCATGTTTCATTTTATTCGATTTTTTGCAAATATTTATGTTTATATAGTATATTATAACCATTTGTATCTAAAGGTTATTTCTATTTATTAATTTCTTAAAAAGAAATATTGAATAATATATTTTATGTAAAAATAACAAAATCTGATAATATGGGACAAAGGGAGTAGATCATTACTTAAGTTATGCATAGAATGATTTTTTTGGTTGAAAAATGCAAAAAATTGTTATGATGGTACTAACAACAATGATGTATAGGATATAGTTAAAGTAAAATTTATGAGTAATACTTGGAAGAAAAAAGTGTGTTATATATAAATAATATTTATAAGTATATATATATATATATATTATATCAAGTAATTTTTTCTATTTTTTTAATACAAAAAGCAAAAACGAAAGAAAGAAAAAAGCAGTTTGAAAAACTGTTGTAATTTTATTTGTGGAAGATATACTCCCTAATTTGGATCATTGAGTCATAACTGATAATAAAGTCTGCTCTATATATATAGACAAAATAAAGTTCTAATTGAAGACAAAAGTCTGTATATAGACAAAATCTAATATGAAATATAGACAAAATCCGAAATTTCATAATAATAAGTGTCATACTAAAAAAATTATATAGACAAAATCTGAAACTTAAAGTACATTCCAAATGCGACAAAAAAAAAAAAAGTACATTCCAAATAAAGTTAAAAAGCTGTGTTTTTCATCGCATGTATAAATAAAAGCAAGACTAGCTAGTTCTCTCACAAAACCAAACCATTCCAATACAAAAACATTGTTTAGCTATGGCCAACCAATACTTTAGGATCGCTTTTCTTCTCTCCCTCTTCTTGTCCCTCTCTTGTAAGTAAAGATGCAAATTCATAAAATGTGGTGAAGTTGTTCAAATTTTTTTGCATAATTAACCAGTTATACAAATTGTGTGGAATTGTAATTTATGTTTAGTAGTTTGTGCTAAATTCTGCCGCTTTAGAAACAAAGCAAAATATCACATGTTCTAAGTTAAACTTAAGCTATTTTGCACTTAATCTATGTTTCTCTTATATTTTTGGATTAAAAAAAACATTTGGGACTTTTCTTGTATTAAGGATCATATATGTGATTAATGTTTCTAGCTTTTGAAAACATATAATATACTAATTTGACGTTTTTGTTTTTCTTAAAATGAATTGAAGATCAAAGCATAAGAATTGAGGCTAGGGTAGGCAAAGGATGTATAGGCAAATGTTACAGATCTCCTACTCCTTCCCCGTCGATGATAGATTCAGAAGAACAAGCCAACAAAGAACAAATCAACCTTAAAAGACTTACGGTATCTCCTATCGCTTCTGCTTCAGTGAAACTTACGCCTCCTTATGCTTCTCCTTCGGTGAGACTTACGGGCACAACTCCCAACGCTTCCCCTTCGGTGAGACTTTCAGGGACAACTCCTAACGCTTCCCCGAGACTTGCAGGGACAACTCCCAACGCTTCCCCTTCGCTTATGCCTCCTAACCCTTCCCCTTCAGTGAGACTTGCAGGGACAACTCCTAACGCTTCCCCAAGACTTGCAGGGACAACTCCCAACGCTTCCCCTTCGCTTACGCCTCCTAACCCTTCCCCTTCGGTGCGACTTGCAGGGACAACTCCTAACGCTTCTCCGAGACTTGCAGGGACAACTCCCAACGCTTCCCCTTCGCTTACGCCTCCTAACCCTTCCCCTTCGGTGAGACTTGCAGGGACAACTCCCAACGGTTCCCCTTCGCTTACGCCTCCTAACCCTTCCCCTTCGGTAGTCTCTCCGAATGCTTCCCCCTCCTTCCATACATGAATATTATGTCCTAAACTAGATGTAACCCTGAAATCTCTATGTTTTGTTTTATAATTAGTTTACATTAATAAAAAGGATCAAATCTCCGTTTTGGTTTTAAAGTGATGAAATCAATTTCTATATGACGTTGCTTAATAGTATAACATTAGATCTTTAATTTTTTTTTGAATATATGACCTACCCAAGAATATGGATCCAAAAACCGGATGATTTAGACAGATGACAATCTACGGATAATTATAACATGTGGTGTGTTACAAACGATTTTAGTTTAACATGAATATCTTAAAATGTATAATGCAAACGATTTTAGCTGTAAACCAAATGTTCAGGTTATCAATATATACTGTCTTCAAATCTAGCATTAATTAATTACACTATGTAATATTAAAAATATATATATACAACATGAATCTTCAAGATTTTTTTGGTCATCACTTATACTATACACTAGAAAAAAACTGTGATAATAGCTCCGCATTTTTCTAAGCTCATTAATAAATGAGTCATCTTATTTTGTATGGTACGTCTGTAAATACAATTGTTAATATAGCGAGCAAATGAGAAATGACTTATATATATGGGTATTCAAGCTTATACTTGATTATCTTACTCTTTTGTATATAAAGCAGAAAATACGTAATAACGTAGGCGTATATAATTAAGTACATGAATCATATATTTATTAGACGTGTAAGAGTAAACTTAGGTAGATGCGTGTTAAGGGTTATGGGGGAAGTATAGTTTTCCTGTACGAAAGAGAATTCTCATTTGTGACTAACATTTAATTCATATGATCATGAAGGACAAGATCTTGCAATGCGACATAAACTCTTGAGTGCCACAACCTACTTACTTGTCAGAGAGGTCTGTCATATTGCGACAATGGAAATTGCAAGTGTCTTACGTTACTAGCGATGGATACAAATAGAGTCGACGTGAATCACATAGGGGAATGTAACAGACACCTTGACTGCCAAAGCATGCGTAGTTGTGACAAAAGGTCGAATCTATTGTGACAACGGAATTTGCAAGTGTTTAACGTTACAAGCTATGAATACAAAAGGAATTGATGTGAATCATGGAGGGATATGTGACACATACCTTGAGTGTGGAAGCATGCTATGTTTTGATTATCGTCGGGGGTGTTGCGTAAATGGAAAATGTGTGTGTCGCAAACAGGGCCAATTTGTGCCCAACTGCCCAAAATAAATTATGTGAAAATTATCTTTGTAACCAACTCAATGCACCCTAGTTATGTTCTATCATGCCTCCAATATTTAATTTGATGAAATAAGTTATTAAGCACTTTGTATCGATAGACAACCTTCTAATAAAATTAGATGCTTAAAAATAAAATAAAAAGTCTTATTTCATCAATTCCTTATAAACCATTTGTTAATTATATATATATATATATATATATATATATATATATATATCAAACTTTTGTTTTAGAATGTATGTTCTTTCTCATTTTATCATCTTATTATGTCATGTCTTTGTCTTTTTAAGTATAAAATGAATGATAAAACATACTTAGAGATTGAAATGGATCGATGGAATTTTTGATTTAGGTCTATGGATTCAGATATGTTAAATTTAAGGTTAAGCTATCCAAATCCTGAATTCGATATGTGATCTTCAAAAATCTTAAAACTCGAATACATTATCAATGTTTTCGTCGAGGATGGTTTTTACCGGTTCGCCGGTTTTCATTGGTTTTAAGACTTCATATATTCTACTCGGCTTTTCCATGATAAACATGACCATGCAAGGGTATCATTCGCGGTACGATGGGTTCAAACCGATCGATCCATTTCGGTTTACAGTTTTTATAAATCAATGATAGTTGTACATGTCAAATTGAGCACTTAACTAACCGGAGAGCTTGATTGAAAGAGATAGAATTGCGATAAATGCTTTTTATTGAATTCAGGAACAAGAGAATCAATTACAAATTAAAGAGATCGTCCTTGCGTTGATATCGCGTTAGGATTTTTCTCTGATAGTTGAATGTGTAGAATTATTGAGAGGCGAATTGTGGATCTCTTTCTTGGTGACAACTCATTTCTCTTTATACTCTTCCTCCTAGGTCTTCGAATATGATTTTTTTCCATTTTTTTCTATCCAAGATTTTCCTTCTTTTCTCTTTCTCAATATTGCGTAATATCGAACGTATATTTGAGTTAATCTTTCCATTTCCCGTTAGGTCGGTCTCGATCTCTCTATTTCCACGTAATTGGGCCTTACCCCAAAATAAGTGGATATCCTTCTTCGGATTCCCACAGGGTTTCCTGCACTTAAAGAGTGAACACGAGTTTGTATAATACTGACGTTTTGACTAAGAGATACATGGGATGTTTGCAACGTGTCGACGGCTTTTTCTACATCCGAGAACTTTTGTGATATGTCCGACATGGTTTGCTGCATGGCTTTGAGGGTTTCGGCCAATGATGACTCAACGGCGTCTCCTCCGGACATTGCTGCTTATCTCGGAAATGTAGTAAAGAAAAATCTGGCCACTCAAGAATCCTCTATCCCCACAGACGGCGCCAAAATGTGGATGTCGGACTCGCACACTCAAGTATTTTTAATTAAGTAGGAAAGATTACTCTTGAGGGATAAAAATGAATATGTAAAAAGCTTATGAATTGCTACAAAAATTGCTATAGTATTTCTTACTCGAGAAAGATGGATTCCCTTTACATGGCCATTTGCCCTTATATTTATACATAGAAAAACAACACTTAAATGGCTAATTAAGTACAATTATTCTCTCTTAAATGCATCCGTTTTGATCTTCGGGATTTAATGCTCAACGTTCAAATTTGAATTAATTCCGATCTTCGTGGGCTTCGCCCTTCAGGCCAAAAGCCTCGAACTGAAATGATCTTTAACTTCAACTTCGTCTCCTTCTCGAGGTGAAACCACTCCGATCCCTCTTCGTGGTATAACCACCTCGACTAAGCTCTTTGGGCTTATAAGTCTAACGGGCCTTGTCCTCTATGGGCTTCTGTCCTGCCTATGTGGCAATCTTTGGTTGGTTCCGAACCACCCGTGCGGGATCCGACACCAACACTAACCAGAGAGCTTAATTGAAAGAGATAGTTTTGCGATAAATGCTTTTTTATTGAATTCAGGAACAAGAGAATCAATTACAAAGAGATCGTCCTTGCGTTGATAGCGCGTTAGGATTTTTCTGTGATAGTTGAATGTCTAGGGTTCTTGAGAGGCGAATTGTGGATCCCTTTCTTGGTGACAACTCATTTCTCTTTATACTCTTCCTCCTAGGTCTTCGAATGTGATTTCTTTCCATTTTTTTCTATCCAAGATTTTCCTTCCTTTTATCTTTCTCAATATTGTGTAATATCGAACGTATATTGGAGTTAATCTTTCCATTTTCCGTTAGATCGATATCGATCTCTCTATTTCCACGTAATTGGGCCTTACCCCAAAATAAGTGGATATCCTTCATTGAAAAACCCGATAAGGTATTTCTAAAGTTTGGTTTATTCTTGGTTCGAATCGAGTTAACCGGATGGTGCTAAATCACTCACTAACATTAATCTTAAGTAATATTTGATAGTATAGACTATAGAAGTTTTTTTTTTCTTTTCTTCAATATATATATTTTCTTAAATTGATATTTATGATGTAATTAGATCTTGGCTTCGTGGCTTGTAGTGCTGATTTATAAAACTTATAATCAATGCAACGCCGGTTCGATACGTCATATTTTAGGGTTCTTTTAAAAATTCACAAATTCTCCAATTCGCCTCCTTTCTCGATCCTATCAAAATCTCCACCACCAATGAAGCGACGACGCCGTAACTCCAAACTCAAACTCGAAGAATCCTCCGACCAATCACCGGCAACCACGGCGGAGTTCTCCTTCTCTCTCACCAAAATCGCCGTCAGTCAAATCTGCCGATCCGTTGGATACATAGCCACCGATACATCCGCTCTCAACACTCTAACCCTAACAACCACCAAATTCTTACAATCCCTCGCCGAACTCGCATCGTCGTTCTCTAACACCGCTAATCGAACAGAGGTTAACCTCTTCGACATCGTCAACGGTCTCCAAGATATCGCTTTGTCTACTTCCGATTGTTTCCCCGGCGGATCCACCGTGCACGATATTGAATCTCATTGCTTGATCAAATCAGCTGTTCTTCGTAACCTCTCCGATTTCGTTGCCTACGCTCCTGAAATTCCTTTTGCTAAGCCGTTACCGAGACGAGAAAGAGACGGATCGTTAGGAGGAGATTTGGATCAAGCGCCGGTGACTCGATCGGTGGAGGTGAAGTCTGTTCCAGCTTGGCTTCCGCCTTTTCCTGACGCTAGTCTCTGCTCCGAACGATGTATAAAGGATAGACCTGATCATTTGTGGGAAAACTCCGATTCCGTTATTGGCCGTGAAATTTTGCCGGAGAGTTTGCAATCTAAAATCGGAGGAAGATTACCGGTAAGGAGAGAAAGAGTGAGATTCAAGATGGATCAACGAGATTGGAGTAACAGTGGTGATACGAGATTGGAGCGGTGGCGGGATAATCGCGACGGCGAATCTGACGGTGGAGTTGAGGTTAAGAAGAAAATTAGAGAAGGATACAATTACTGTACCGGCGAGTGGCCGGTTTAATTTATTCTGGTGACGAGAAAAAACAAACAAAACAAAATGCGCGAGGTTTAAGGTATTCGAACTCGCGACGCTTGAGGACTCGTCCTAATGGCCAATGGGAATAATACCGTTTGAGCTGCATCTCTTATAATTTGAAAACTCCAATTGTTATTTTATAAACATTGATATAAAGATTACTTTGTTTCTTTTCTATGAGGCTATTTTTTAATATTCAAACATATAAATGGTGGAATTACATTTTATCATTTTTTCGTTTGTCGAAATGCAAAACTATAATGGGAAAATTTTGATACCGCTAGACTTTAATTGAACTTTTTGAGTTGATCTTTACTCAATGTTAACTTGGTTAGTCACTGAACCCATCGCACAAGTGAACAATGGATTCGTCGCCCAAATAGGAGTTTTGTTCATGAATATGATGCTAAATTTCTTATGGTCCGTTAAAGTAATTGTTTGTTTCATATATCTCTGTTGCATAGGAAACTATCTGGAGTGTAACATTTTTTTTAATTGAAAATAGTGCAAACTATAGTTTGGTGGATTTTATTTATAAAATAGAAATGTCATGTGTTATTCTTTTCACCAAATCTCATGTACTTTATATGTAAAGCCTTTTTATGCAACTCGACTCTAGTATGGCTTGTATAGACACATTTATGCAGTCTTTTTCTTTATTATTTTTCATTAAGATCCAAATGAATCTCAATCGTCCATTCATGAGAGAAGTAATACAAAAGCTACACGTGGCAGCCATCGAGTTTTGTGGTACACTGTTTCATTACCCCCACTATGATTCATATATATATAACAAAAACAAGTTGCATTCCTTCTCAAAATTTACTGAAATTGCCACTGTTTTCGAGTTTGTTGGTTCTCCGATCTCGCCGGTGTCTTCTTCTCCGGTGGATATTGAAATCCTCCGGTAGCGTTTGACTGAGCTACGGTATGATTTTCTTCTTCATTTTCTTTTGGAATTAGTCGTTGTATGGAGTGAGTAATCCACTGGTTTTGACTTAATTTGTAGAAATCAAATTTGAAAATTTCTACAGAATATGCCGGTGGTTTCTCTGGCTAAGGTTGCTACTTTCCCGGCGGTGGCCGGAGATTTAACGGTTCGTGTTCCGTTAGTTTATGGGAAACGACTCGTGACGAATCGTGTTTCTTTCGGGAAATTGAGGCGCCGGAGTTGTATAGGTCATTGTGTAAGAAGCGAATTGCAGAGTCCTCGTGTTCTAGGTTCCGTCACAGGTTTGAGATTCTGACGGTGATTTTGCTTGTTATCTGGGAAATTTGGTGATTGTTGTGTTGATGGTGATTTGCATTTGAATAGATTTAGCGTTGGATAAATCTGTGGAGAATGGTCATCTTCCCAAGGGAGATTCATGGGCTGTACACAAATTTGGAGGAACTTGTGTGGGAAATTCTGAGAGGATAAAGGATGTTGCTGATGTTGTTGTTAAGGATGACTCTGAGAGGAAGTTGGTGGTTGTGTCAGCAATGGCGAAAGTCACTGATATGATGTATGATCTTATTCACAGAGCACAGTCTCGGGATGATTCATATCTGTCTGCTTTGAGCGGTGTTCTTGAAAAGCACCGAGCAACGGCTGTTGACTTGCTTGATGGAGATGAACTCGCGAGTTTCGTGGCTCGGTTAAATGATGATATAAACAATCTCAAAGCAATGCTTCGTGCCATTTACATAGGTACTGTTTTTTTTCCCTTTGTCAATTCTCAATGCATATTGTTAGGAGGAGGTATTAAGAAATTGAATTGAATTTGTATATGTTCTTTTGAAATCTTATTCCTTTTGTTACGAACTCTTCTATCTCTGCAGCTGGTCATGCAACTGAATCTTTCTCAGACTTTGTTGTGGGTCATGGAGAGTTGTGGTCTGCTCAGATGTTAGCTGCTGTTGTGAGAAAGGTATAAAAGTCCTATATGACGTGCCGCGAGAAACTCCCTAAAGTAAAGAACTAGTTGTTCTTTTATTTTACCTTTCTCATATGCTTGTGTTGGTTTTGCTCATAGAGTGGATTGGACTGCACATGGATGGATGCAAGGGATGTCCTTGTTGTTAGTCCAACGAGCTCTAATCAAGTCGACCCTGACTTTGTGGAATCAGAAAAGAGACTGGAAAAATGGTTTACTCAGAACTCGGCAAAGATTATTATAGCAACTGGCTTCATAGCCAGTACACCACAGAACATTCCAACGACTCTCAAGAGGGATGGGAGTGACTTCTCCGCAGCTATAATGGGTGCTCTGTTTAGATCTCACCAACTCACAATCTGGACAGATGTTGATGGTGTGTACAGTGCAGATCCAAGGAAAGGTATGTGCAAGCCTCCATTTAACTGATATATAGTTAGGACTAGTTATTGAGCCATGACAGGCGTGTTTTCCTCATCATGTTTGTCTATTGTTATGCTAATGATTATGTTTTGATGCAGTTAGTGAAGCTGTTGTACTGAAGACTCTTTCTTACCAAGAGGCTTGGGAAATGGTAAATTTCCAACCTCTTGCACTTGTTTAAATGCCTGATTTTTCAGAATCGTTGTTTACACCTAACATTCATGTTCATATGCCTGCGCAGTCTTACTTTGGGGCAAACGTCTTACATCCTCGGACCATTATTCCAGTGATGAAATATGACATCCCAATTGTAATAAGGAATATTTTCAACCTCTCTGCCCCTGGAACAATGATATGTCGGCAGATTGAAGATGAAGATGGATATAAATTAGACGCTCCTGTCAAAGGGTTTGCGACGATTGACAATTTGGCTCTTGTAAACGTGGAAGGGTGAGCTAATAGTGGATATTGTGTTACACATGCGGCTGCTTATTGTATTTCTTATACAAACTCTGCATTCTCTTTATAGAACTGGAATGGCTGGTGTTCCTGGTACTGCCAGTGCCATTTTTTCTGCTGTCAAGGAAGTTGGAGCTAATGTTATTATGATCTCACAGGTTATTTAGTTCAGGTTTCTGATTTCTTTCATCGGTTATGTATTCACTTGTCAATTGTAAGTTCTTAATAAAATTATATAAATGCAGGCTAGTAGCGAGCATTCTGTGTGCTTTGCTGTACCAGAGAAGGAAGTGAAAGCTGTTTCTGAAGCATTGAACTCACGATTTCGTCAAGCTTTGGCTGGTGGCCGCCTTTCCCAGGTGCCTTTATCTCTCTCTTGTTGGTAAAAGGGTATCAAATAGCTATTCTCTTGGCAAATCAGCAGGATCCTTGTTTAGGCATCCACTATCTTTCTCAAACTGTGGTTTCATTGTTTTCATTCAGATTGAAATCATCCCTAATTGTAGCATATTAGCAGCAGTTGGCCAGAAAATGGCGAGCACTCCTGGTGTTTCTGCCACTTTTTTCAGTGCGTTAGCAAAGGTAAGCTAAGTGTAGTGTTTGCAAAGAAAATCAGAAACGGTTCATCATCCATTTCATATCTTTTTTTTCTGCTAAAAAGCTCTGCTGATACAATGCCATACCTAAATAACTGCAGGCCAATATCAACATCCGTGCTATAGCTCAAGGTTGCTCCGAGTTCAATATTACAGTAGTCGTCAAGCGTGAAGATTGCATTAGGGCATTAAGAGCTGTGCACTCAAGATTTTACCTTTCGAGAACCACTTTGGCAGTGGGAATTATAGGACCGGGATTAATTGGTGGAACCTTACTTGATCAGATTAGAGATCAGGTGAGTATCTGATGCTTATATGCGAGATTATAGTAAAATACGGATCAATGTTCAAGCTGCATCATCATCTTTATATTTCCTTTCACAGGCGGCAGTGCTCAAAGAAGAATATAAAATTGACTTGCGTGTTATAGGGATCACAGGCTCAAGTAAAATGTTGATGAGTGAATCGTAAGCCAACGAACTTGATAATGATACATAACTTCGGTGAACTTTCTACTGCTGTAATCTTTTTACACAATCGTCATCTTTTTAGGGGGATTGACTTATCAAGATGGAGAAAACTTATGAAAGAAGAAGGAGAAAAAGCTAACATGGAGAAGTTCACCCAATATGTGAAGGGAAATCATTTCATTCCAAACTCTGTTATGGTTGATTGTACGGCCGATGCTGATATCGCTAGCTGTTACTACGACTGGTTGCTACGAGGAATTCATGTGGTCACTCCGAACAAAAAGGCCAACTCTGGACCACTTGATCAGGTAAAGTGTTTGATCTTTGCTTAAATGACTGTTGGATCGGCAGCTACAAATATGTTCACCTTGAGTATATATCCATTAAGATTCCGAGATTTATGAACAGAGAGACTGATTGGTAACACTCTCCTGTAAATGCAGTATCTAAAGATCAGAGATCTTCAAAGAAAATCGTACACACATTACTTTTATGAAGCAACCGTTGGAGCTGGTCTTCCAATTATCAGCACCTTACGTGGTCTCCTCGAAACAGGGGATAAAATACTGCGAATTGAGGGAATTTTCAGGTATCTCCTCTTCGGCTTGGTACCGCAGCAATTTGTTCAGATAACACAACAACGGCCTTGCTTTGCACCTTCACACTAAAATTTTGCTTTGATGCTTTTCTGCAGTGGTACTTTAAGTTACCTCTTCAACAACTTTGTCGGCACCAGAAGCTTCAGTGAAGTTGTAGCAGAAGCAAAGCAAGCAGGTTTCACAGAACCAGATCCACGAGATGATCTATCTGGAACAGATGTTGCTAGAAAAGTAGGGTTTTTTTTGTTTCTGTCAACAAATCGAGTCAATGCACCTTGTAAATGATATTGAACCTTATAGTATCTGCTACTTCTGCAGGTAACAATCCTTGCCAGGGAATCAGGCTTAAAATTGGATCTTGAGGGCCTTCCAGTCCAGAATCTTGTGCCAAAGCCGCTACAAGTAAGTCTCTGTATAATCACACAATTAAATTCATCAACAATAAGGATAATCCTTATGACATTTCTTATTCTCTTGTTGATCACAGGCTTGTGCATCAGCAGAAGAGTTCATGGAGAAGCTACCTCAGTTTGATGAAGAATTATCCAAACAAAGAGAAGAGGCTGAAGCAGCAGGAGAAGTAAGTAGTACCTCTTAGCAAAACTATTTTAACACCCAATGTGCCGCCTTGAAAAGAACTCATTTCAGATTTTGTTGTGTTGTGTCTTTCTTTAGGTCTTGAGATACGTAGGAGTTGTAGACGCAGTAGAGAAAAAGGGAGCAGTCGAGTTGAAACGGTACAAAAAAGATCATCCGTTTGCTCAGCTCTCGGGCGCTGATAACATCATCGCTTTCACAACCAAACGGTACAAAGATCAGCCTCTAATTGTTCGTGGACCTGGTGCTGGTGCTCAAGTTACAGCCGGTGGAATCTTCAGTGACATTCTTCGCCTTGCATTCTATCTCGGGGCTCCGTCTTAAGGCACAATTGTTTCTTCTAGGAACAAATCTAATGATCAAACCCTGTTTCTACATGCTAGATCTGTAATTTGGATTCCAGAGATTTTGATTCTTATAGATGAAACCAAACGTCAAGGTAATAAAACACTCTAGGAAAAAATTGAATAAAGGCTGTTGGTATCAACACAAGCACTGAAATCCTGTCTCCTGGCTCGAATTCATCTCATTTCATATGATTTTGACCCAACCGAAACAAAATTTAGCATCAGAAACATTTCTCAATCTATACTTTCGGCAAAAAACTTCTTCTACAGCGTGAAGACTATAACCTAATCTGATATCCAATGCGGTTGAAACACTTTGTTTTGAAAATGGAACTATCTGAGATCCAATGCAGTTTAACTTCATTTGTAGAGGATCTAATAGTACTCGTCAGGGTTTTCTTTGCTTTGAATGAGAGGGACACCGTCTTCTCTCCATTTAATCCGCTCTTCGCAAATCGCAGCCACCACCTCGACATACAGCTTGTGTTCCTGAGCCCAAAATGGAAAAAAAAGGAAGCAAATGAAATCTTCTGAACTGTGAAATGTATTGTTCAAAACTATTCTTTAGTAGTACCTCATGAAGAACCCTTTTAGCCAATTCTTCTGGTGTATCATTAGCAATCACACGGACTGCACTTTGAGCAAGTATCCGACCTGTATCGTACTCCTCATTGACAAAGTGAATTGTGGGACCTGAATATCTACGGAAAGAAAAACCGTTGAATGTTTTCTTGCGCAAAAGAAAAGGAAACAAAAAAACTACACATCTGTAACATTGTATTACCTAGCTCCCGATTTTAGAACAGCTTTATGCACTCTTATACCATACAGACCTTTGCCTCCAAAAGCCGGAAGAAGAGCAGGATGAATATTTAGAATCCGTTTAGGAAATGCTTGGACAAGCTCGACCGGTATAAGTTTCAAATAACCAGCTAGAAGAACAAAGTCTACCCCATATTTCCTGTTCATCAAGCAAATGTGAAGAGACAGTGAACTTTCAACAACGCCTTAAGACATTCACTTCAAGGGTAAAGATACAAATAAAGATGGAGAGAGAGAGAGAGAGAGATGCTAACCTAAGTACATCTACAAGCTCTGAAGGAGAGAGTCCATCGAATGGTTCTCGCTTCGCTTTAGGGAATACTAAAACAGGAATTCCATTACTTCTTGCATACTCAGCACCTCCACAATCTAAATTGATGAACTTAAGCAAGTAAGTATTGCAGGGTTTTCAAAAATAACAAAATCAAAACTCCGAATCAATTCACATTACACAAAATAGAGCTATTCGAATTCCACTAACTAATCAGTCATATATTAGCAGTTCTTTTCTGATCAATTAACTTTTAAGAACCAAAACACACATAAACTAGAATTGAAACTTAGGAAGACCAAAATCAATAACTTGAAGAAGAAAGGTGATACCTTTTTTGTTAGTGACCAACAAAACAACATCCCCATTAACAGAACCATCACTGCATCCCTCATGAATCTTCCTGAAATTCGAACCACCTCCCGAAACAAACACAGCAAGTTTCTTCCTTTTTGGTTCGTCTCTCGAACCATCGACCTCCGCTACTATCTTTGGAGCAAACGAAACAGCTTTTACAAGCGGTCCAATCCTCATCGCAAATCTGCCTGCGTGACATGAGAAAGAGAAAGAGAGAACATTCCGGGGAGGTGTAAACGGAGCAATCGAGGTTTCACGGGTCTTCAACGGCGAATTCACCGGGAAGTTGAATTGACTCGAGAACAAAACCCGTGATTCCATTCCGACGGTCTAATCGGAGGTTTTTGTTGACTGCTCCTCGGAGACTTTTTTGAGGTTCTGCTTTAAGAAAACACCGTGCCGTCTCAATATAATTCTATCCTACTGCATGCCGTTTTTATCTTACAAAAACAACAGCGCTAACCTAGTAACCTGTGAGAGAGAGAGAGAGAGGAGGAATCAAATCAATCACCCGTAATTCAATTTCCGGTTCAATCCGGCTATCTCCAATTAACTACGATATCACAAGGCCCATTGGCCCAACAAGGCCCAATTTAAACGAAGCGGTTCATGAACAAAAAAAGATCTTCTTCCTCTTCACTCCGATTTCTCCTACGGTCTCTTTCTCTCTCTGAGAAATCGAGAGACTAATATTTGTCACCTGAAATTTGTTCCCTGGAAAATCGTTCGTTTGGTGTTTCTTCGTCGCAGTCTTCTTCTCAGGTACACTTTTTCTTCTAACCCCTTTTGGTTCTGTGAATCGGTCGTTTTCTTGTGCGTTGTTTTGTCATTTTCAATGCTTGAATTTGTATCAAGATTATGTTTTTTCGTAGCTGTAGATTTCCAAGATTTTCTTATAAACAAGAACAAAGAAATGGCTCTAGTACATTTTTGCTTTTATCGCCGATAATACGGCTTATTACGAGAGCATTTTGCAAATCGTTGTAGACGTATGATTTTGTTTTTTTGAGGTTTCGAGATTGCTTTGATTGCTAGAAAAATCTGAACTTGTGTCATTGGCTTCGTTGTACAGAAACTAGGGATCCCATTGCTCCGAGTGGTGACGTTTGGTACAGATTCTGGTTCTGTTGTTTGTGGAGTGTTAGAGAATGAGCTCTCAAGTCAGGAGAGATCGGAGAGAGAGGCAAAGATTCACTCCTCAAACTACGCAACAAACATGGGTTCCAAGAGGAACTTCCTCGACCTCTGTGGTTGTAAACGAGACTACCTTTCCTTTCGACGCGAATACAAATTTTGGAAGCCTTGATGCTGGTGCTAGACCCGGTCCTGTTTATCAGCAAAGGCAGCACTATGAGTCTGGCCCTCTGCTTAATAACCCGCAACAAAGGAGTAATGTCTTGGGTCCTCCTCCTTTTAACCGTCAAAGGAGGAATAATGGTTCGAGAACTGTGCCGGATAACCGTCAGAGAGGTGGTTCTAGGGGTCGCTTGGTCCAGACTGTGAATGAGGGAACAGGGTTGGATAAAGAAAGGAGTGGGCATAAAGAGAATACTGTGTTGACAAACCCAAATCTGCCTCAACTTTTGCAAGAGATACAGGATAAGCTAATGAAAGGTTCTATTGAGTGTATGATTTGTTATGATATGGTTAGGCGGTCTGCTAATATTTGGTCTTGCTCCAGTTGTTACTCCATATTCCATCTGAACTGTATCAAGAAATGGGCTCGAGCGCCAACTTCGGTGGATTTGTTGGCGGATAAAAACCAAGGTAGTAATTGGAGATGTCCAGGTTGTCAGTTTGTTCAGTTGACATCGTCAAAGGATATACAGTATCGATGCTTTTGTGGAAAGAGGAAAGACCCACCTAGTGATCCATATTTGACTCCTCACTCTTGTGGAGATATATGTGGGAAGCCGCTGGAGAAAGAGTTTGCAACAGCTGCGATGGCTAACGAAAATACTTGTCCTCATGTTTGTGTATTGCAGTGTCATCCCGGTCCATGCCCTCCATGTAAGGCATTTGCCCCACCTCGTAACTGTCCTTGCGGTAAGAAGATGATCAGAACCAGATGCTCCGAAAGAAAATCTAATCATACTTGTGGGCAGAGTTGCGATAAGCTTCTTTATTGTGGCCGTCATCGATGTGAAAGGGCATGTCATGTGGGGGCTTGTGATCCATGTCAGGTACAAGTCAATGCCTCCTGCTTTTGCAAGCAAACAGTGGAGAGTGTAATCTGTGGTGACATGAATGTGAAGGGAGAGGTGAAAGCAGAAGATGGCGTGTTTTCATGCAAATTGAACTGTAGAAAACAGCTTGAGTGTGGTAACCATTACTGTCGTGATGTTTGCCATCCTGGGCCTTGTGGGGACTGTGAGTTCCTGCCTAGTAGAATTAAGTCATGCTATTGTGGAAAAACGAGTTTGGAAGAGGAGAGGCGGAGTTGCCTTGATCCAATTCCTTCTTGCTCGAACATATGCAGCAAGTTTCTTCCATGTGGCCTGCATAACTGCAAAGAAATGTGCCATTCAGGTGGTTGTTCGCCTTGTTTAGTCCAAGTGCGCCAAAAATGTCGGTGCGGCTCAACATCTCGGACTGTGGAATGCTACAAGACAGTTTTAGAGACAGAGAAGTTCATTTGCGCTAAACCATGTGGCCGTAAGAAAAACTGTGGGAGGCATAGATGTAATGAGCGGTGCTGCCCTCTCCTGAACCATCCAAAGAATGATGATCTCTCAGGCGATTTTTTTGATCTCCACTTTTGCCATATACCTTGTGGAAAGAGGCTAAGGTGCGGACAGCATTCCTGTGAAACTCTCTGTCACACTGGTCATTGTCCTCCTTGCCTCGAGATGATTTTCACTGATCTTGCATGTGCTTGTGGGAAAACTTCGATACCTCCTCCATTACCATGTGGAACGCCTGTCCCGAGTTGTCAGCTTCCTTGCTCGGTTCCTCAGCCTTGTGGCCATTCCGCTACACATGGTTGCCATTTTGGAGACTGCATGCCTTGTTCAGTACCCATGGAGAAGAAATGCATTGGTGGTCATGTGGTTCTCAGGAACATACCGTGTGGGTTAAAAGACATTAGATGTAACAAAATATGCGGAAAGACAAGGTGTTGTGGCATGCATGCTTGTGCCAGGGCGTGTCACTCTAAACCATGTGACAATGGTGGTAACGCATCTGTAACTGGTCTGCGTGTTACTTGCGGTCAGACGTGTGGTGCTCCTAGAAGAGACTGCAGACACACTTGTGCAGCACTGTGCCATCCTTCTGCGCCTTGTCCTGATCAGAGATGTGAGTTTCCACTCAAAATTGCTTGTTCATGTGGTCGCATAACAGCTACCATCCCTTGTGATGTCGGAGGAAGTGCTGGTGGTTTTAGCGGTGACTCTATCTATGAAACCTCCATTTTGCAGAAGCTTCCAGTGCCGCTCCAACCTGTCGAGTCAAATGGGAATAGGATTCCTCTTGGGCAGAGAAAGCTTACTTGTGATGAAGAGTGTGCTAAGGTGGAACGTAAACGGGTTCTTCAAGATGCATTTGATATCACTCCTCCAAGTTTAGACGCTTTACATTTTGATGAGAATACTGCCATGACTGAGATCATTTCAGATCTTTATAGACGTGACCCTAAGTGGGTGCTAGCAGTTGAGGAGCGATGCAAGTTCTTGGTACTTGGAAAAGCCAGAGGTAGCACAAGTAGTTCCCTAAAGCTCCATATCTTCTGTACTATGGAAAAGGATAAAAGAGATGCAGTACGGTTGATAGCTGAGAGGTGGAAACTTGCTGTAAGCAATGCTGGGTGGGAACCAAAACGCTTTGCAGTGGTTTACGTTACACAGAAGTCAAAACCCCCTACAAGGATCATTGGAGTCAAAGGTGTTGCCTCCGCAGGCGGGCCCCACGCACCAGCCTTTGATCCACTGGTTGATATGGATCCTCGACTCGTGGTTTGTTTTTCTGATCTCCCAAGGGAAGCTAATATCAGTGCCTTGGTTCTGAGATTTGGAGGCGAATGCGAGCTTGTTTGGTTGAATGACAAGAATGCATTAGCCGTCTTCCACGATCCACTTCGAGCAGCCACTGCCATGAGAAGACTTGAACACGGTTCTGCGTACCAAGGAGCGGTAGTTGTTGTACAGAACCAAGGACAATCTCCGTCTCTTAGTAACGCATGGGGAATACCAGGCAGCTCGGTTAAGAGAGGAAATCCATGGCATAAGGCAGTGATTAAGGAATCAGATGACTCTTGGGGAATAGAAGATTCTCCCATTGGAGGTTCTATGTTGAAATCAGCAAAGGATAACGCTTTGATCACTCCTTTAGTCAACCGTTGGAGCGTTCTCGAGTCAGATAAGACTGTTTCAGTGGAGCCGCTAGCTCAGACCGAAGGGACAAGTAGTTCGAAAGCTGCTGGTAAAGAACCGGAAGAGACCGCAGTGGTTGATGATTGGGAGAAAGTATGCGAATGAGTGGAGAAGATAAAACGCCAATGCAGTTTCTCTGTGAGTACTTAAATTTTTTTGCTTTTGACTATTGGACTAGTGGAGCTTCATTCACTTGTGGTGTTCTTTCACTTCGGAGCTCAAAAACAGAGGATCGTTTATTTAGATTGGTCAACTTCTTTTGAAGCTTTTTATGTTTTGAAAACTTTTCTCGAAACCCGTAGTTTATGTTGAAATTTTACTCATATGATATGAGACTCTCTGAATCAAAAAAGAATCTTTGTTGGGTTAGCCTAGTAGTGAATATTGATTACTTTTGTGGAAGAGACCAATTTCGACTGCAACAAAGCTTTTTCCGTTACTGTTATCATTGTGTTAAATATTAGTTTTACATCAAACCACAGGACGAACTTAATCTACACAGATGACCAAAGGAATCAGACATAAAATAGGTTTCACCTTTGAAAGTGACTTGAGATTCAATAGTAGAAGAGTGTCAAGTGGTTTTAACTTTTAAGAAACATAACTTTGTTTGATTCTTATTCAGATTAAGAGCAACAAGTTGTCGATATATGCTTTGCCTTTCGTTGGCCATTCAAGCATTTTTTATAACTTTGTCTCTCCAACTAAAGAAAAGTCAGGTTTTTGGGTAATATTCTTATATCTCCCTTCTTCTGTCACAATCTTTTCTTTGTTTTTCGACATGAGAAAATAAAGTCTATATAAATTCCATTTCGAGAGATTTGGTATTGTTGTTTTTAGTGTAAAAAGGAAGAAAAAAAATCAGAAAATGTCTTCACCAAAGAGTTCACACCATAAGGCAGACTCCAAAATGGAACAAGATGTGAGTTTCTTTGTTTATTTTCTCTGCTCTTGAAGATAATTTGCGACATCTTTTTAAATATGAAACAACAAAACTGTGATTATAAATGTTTATCTTGCTTTTGTCATTTTTATTGTTAATTTGGGCAGAGCAATAGAAAAGCATGGATTTTACAACCGAGTGGTCTTAACTTTGTCTGGGGAGGTGACTCGAGATATTGGGTTATCCCTAAAGAACCAAGGTGCCTTCCGATTCATTTCGACTTAACCGATAAACCAAACTTTGGGCTTACTGATACCAAAAGTCTTAAACTGATTCATTTGATTGTTGGTTTTAGGATGCCTGCTGAGCTGAAGATGGTGAGTTGGCTAGAAGTAACCGGTTGTTTTGAGAAGATTGAACCCGCTAAAACATACCGAATCGGTTTTAAAATCTCGTTTAAAACGGATGCGACCGGTTGGGATGAAGCCCCACTTTTCATGTCTGCTAAAATCGGGAAGAAAGGCAAGACGGTGTGGAAACGAATCAAATCCGTTAACCAGAACTTTGGTAAACTGATAGACGGATCAGAACCCATCAATATACCTGACGAGTCCGATGGCCAGTTCGAAATCTCGGTTAGTCCAGCATCGCTTAACCAAGATACTATGCTTCAGTTTGGTCTGTATGAAGTGTGGACTGGACGATGGAAGACCGGTTTGTTGATCCATGAAGCCTTTGTTCACGAAGTATAAAGAGATCATTGTCGACTTTCATACTAGGAACACAAAACTTTATACCTCAAATTTGGTCGATTTAGTTCTAAATAAACGAGCTTTAGATCATAATAATGTAATCTTATACCTCTTTGAACAAGTCTTAAAGCTCTGTATGATACTCTTCAGGTTTAAACCACAGCGAGAAATCGATTCCTTTCGACTTCAAATTCTCAGTTGCGGGTGCAATTCTCTCCAGAAGCTACACCGATTAGACAAGAAACATGTTAGACCTGATCTCTAAGCATAACATATGAAAAGCATTAAACAAAAACATTAACAGTTGATGAAACCTTGGAGTGAAGAACGCCGTTGGAAACCAAAACAGACCTATCAAACACAGAAAACTTCCCTCCGTCCATCCGAGTCACAGCTCCTCCAGCTTCCTCAACTATCTGTGTCCAAATTCAGACATGGATTAAGCTCTACAACATAAGTAGTTTAATAAGAAAATAAAAACAAGAAGGATGAAGAAGATTACAAGAACACCAGCAGCCATGTCCCATGGCTTTAGACGGTACTCCCAATATGATTCCGCAATCCCAAGTGCCACATGACACATGTCAACTGCTGCAGCACCGAGTCTTCGCACTCCCCGACTCACATCAGTAAACTCTTTGAACAGATCCATGTTAGTACTCCATGCATCATCATGTTCATAACCAAACCCTGTGATAAGAAGTGCTCTCTCCACCTACATTCAAACCCGAATAGATATGCAATAAAACCAAAACCATTGCACACACCATGTCGAAACTAAGTTGGATTCCGGATAAGTTCCTTACAGCATCAGTTTCACTGACATGAATTTTTTGCCCGTTACACAATGCTCCACCACCTGAGAAATGAATTAGTTAGAAAAGTCTTAAATACAGAACCGAACTAGACAAACATTACCTTCTCACATTGTACCTGCTGTTGCAGAAAAGGTTCGAGTGTTCCAACACATCGGACCACCGACAAACTCAACCTGCATGACCAGATTTTTTTGGTTTTTTAACTTATCTATTGATCAAAGAATCAGTAGAGAGGAACTGTAATCAGTCAAGTATATATTGGATGTACCACAGAAGCAGCGGCGGGGTTTCCACGATACAGAACACCGACAGAAACAGCAAAACTGGGATATCCATGAGCAAAATTTGTTGTTCCATCTATGCATAAAAGGAATTAAGAGACTATTACTAAAAATCTCAGAGATTCCACAAAACACATGAAAAAAAAAAGGCAATGAGATTTGTAAAGAGAGCAAAACCTAGAGGATCAATGCACCAGAGGTAATCAGAAGACGAATCGCCGATAATACCACCTTCTTCACCAAGAATAAGATGATCACTAAAATTCTTCTTCACTACTTCCAAAATAGCAGCCTCGCTTGCTTTATCAGTACTGCAAATTCACCAAATACTAACACTTTAATAGCTTCAAGCACTGAAGTCAACATAAACATAGTTAAAACCTCAATCTACAAAAGCTAACAACTTTTAAAAGCTGAAGAAGTCCTTACTCAGTTACTAAGTCACTGAGACCTTTATAAGTGATATTCCTTGGCTTATTTACAGCTTCCATAACCACCTGAAACCAGATGATTCAATTCAAGTTAGGTTTTTTATTCTTCTCCTTCTGCTCTATGATCCCAAGAACTTGATTCTAGTACTACTTAACACAATTTCGACTCTCAGCAAGAGTTTTTGTTCAAATTCAGATTTTGTATTGTAAAGAGATGAAATTTCGAACCTCAGCGCCGGTTTTAGCGGCGAGTTCAACGACTTCAAGGAGAAGTGCCGGCGATATAGTTCCGGTGGATTTAGCTCCGATTCTAGGATAATGCGTCTGATCAGAAATCTCAGACACAAGAGCTTTTGTTTGAAGTCTTGAAGTGGACTTGAAGCTGTTAGACAAAATCGTCGAACACCCATGTCGGAAATTTCTGTTTGATGTCCGGCATGAAAATGGGTTCTGCAGCGGAAGAGATGATCTGGGTAAGTGAGAGATTCTCATTGACATGCTTCCCATTGCTGGTGTCGCCGGAGGATTTTCTCAGTTGCCCAAAATCAAATTCTTATTTTTTTTTTTTTTTGTTGTTGTAAATTTTGGTTTTTGGTTTTATATCAACGTGAATGGATGGACATGAGAGAGTCCAAAAAGCTGCTGATAGACTCAATATCTTCAACTACAAAACTCAATATCTTCTTCTTCAAACAAAATAAGTTTCAAGAGAGACAAGAAACAATATTTTTTAGCCGCTAGAGTATTACATTTTTCTACTGAAAAACCAAACTTAACATTTATAAAACCGAAAAAACTATCAATCATCAGGTTAGCCTTTGGATTCACGACGACGTATCAGATTTGCGTTCAGCGTCTGCGGCAGACTGCATTTGAGTTGCATATTGTAAGTTCCAGAGAACATCTTCAAAGGAAGGTCTTGCAGAAGGTTCAAGCAAAACACATTTATTGGCGATTGAGATGGCAATCGATAAAGACTCCTGCGAGCTTGTTGTCAGGACCGTTGGACTTACTGTTTTCTGCCGACCGTCTTGGCTCCCAAATGACGTCTGCAAATGCAACATTGCAGCAACAGCTATTAACCACCATGATTTAAAGCAAATAACAATGATGAAGATTGCTTTCTTTTTTTTTCTATTTGATACCATTTCGTTGAGAAGATAGGCCTCTCCTTTTGTAGTAGGCACTGGTCCTATCAGAGATTCCAGAAGTATGAATCCAAAGTTGTACACATCGTCCTCTCTTTTAGCCATTTTCCTGCGTAATTCCAAAGTTTGAATTAGATTCTCCTAAACGCTATGAAATTTTGAAATAGAAGAATCTATGTAGAAGCAGAAGCAAAGTAGAGTCCTGAGTTAGTATCAAAGAAGAGCATACAAAATGAAGATAAACAGAGTGAAAGAGAGTAAATAGGGCAAACCTCGAGCTTTTTGTTCTCTTCAATGATGGCAGAGACTCCATAGTCACTGAGCTTTGCAATCTTGTGTTCGTCAAGCAAAATGTTGTTCGTCTTCAGATGATTGTTGAATGAACAAAATCCCAATCTTTCTTCCTTGGAACTGTTTTCCCTCAGTTTCAGCCTCTTCGCATAAGAATTCTTGATGCTGATCATGACTGCCAATTATGGACAAGCAATTCCACCGAGTTTAACAACTCGCTCGCCGGAAGCTCCTGCCAAGCAACGGGGAGGGATCCCAATTAATCTGTTATTCGACAAGTCCAAGTTTAACTCCACAGGTCAGATAAAGCGGTAGCTTCCCACTGAGCTTGTTAGATGCCAAGTCTAAGTAACTAATGTTTGGCAAAGAGAACAAGAACCGAGATGGAGTTCCAGTCAGATGATTGAACAACAAGTCAAGATGCTGAAGCTGAGACAAACCACCAAAACGTCAGGGAAAATGTGTTGCAGTAGTAACCAATAGACCTGAGGTTGTTGATTGATCACACTCGAAACCTGATTGAATCTAACATCTTACACAAAACAGAAACAGCCTCATTTCTGAATCCAAGAACAGCTGACAAAACTTGAAATTAACTAACAAAAGGAAATGATTCCACCACAATGGCTCCTGCTTCAGTTCAGAGCAGCTTATAGAAAGTAACTAAACCCTAATTTACCAATTACGTAGCTCACAAGATCCAAAAAGCTTTCACCGACAACAACAACAAAACAACTATAATGGCTCTTCTTATCTAACGCTGCTCAAATTCTCTCTGATGACGAGAAAGACAGAGAGAAAGTGAAAGCTGAGCGTCTTCGCACTGTTTACGCTTAAGGCTTGTTCCGCCGCTAGAGCAAAGAGACCTCACCGCCTCTGATTCCTCCGGACAAGCCTCAGCCACCACGCACTCCGCAAACGCCTTGTTCAAATGTCTGCAACCGGATCTCCTTGCCGGTCCCTCAGGCATCCGACGGTGGCACTGCAACAACGCTTCCTGCAACCGATCGCAAGATCTCATCGGGATATCTCCGGTGATCTCTCTCACATGTCTTCTTTGATGATCCGATTATCATCATTAGTTAGATTTGGGCTTTTGATTTTTGAGCCCATATTCTCTTTGGGTAATTATGTGAAGCCCACTTATCTTACACACACCGGACATTAGTTTTTTTTGTTGTTGCCATTTGGAAGATCTGAAATCAACCAAATAGGTTGGTTTAGTGGATTTTGAGAGTTTTTAAAGTCACTAATACAAATTCTATTTAATATATCACTCTTTATGATATTATCATTCTTAATTCTTATTTTTAAAGTCAAATCTCATGTGGTGGTTATATGACTTAATCAGAAAAGGTTTGTGACTTTGTTTTAGTCTTTGTCAAGGTTCCTCAATAGAAGTGGTTATGGATGTGACTTCTTGCCATTGGCTTACACCAACTATCTTATTACTAGATAGTCGTAATTTACGAAAAATGACTTGCAAAACAATGTGATAGTAGTGTGATCACTCAACTCTCATATAAACATATGTAACTAGCTATACAATATTATATTAAATATGAAAAATATATAGATTAAAGATTCTCTCGTATCAAACTTTAGAAAGCTTATTACGTACAAGTACCCTCTTGTTGAATGTCATTCAAGCTTTTGTTGAATAATATTGGCTCGGGATATATATATTTTTTTCCCTTTTTTAATAATAACTTTATTCATCTTTCTCTTCTAAAAAGAGACATCATTTGAAAAACAGTACACAGTTTAAAGATGAAGTAAGAGAAAAAAAAGAGAAACAAGACCACATGTGACGAAGTTACACGATAAGTTGAGTTGAAGAGAAAGCAGGTTAAGGTTGGATAAACCGAAACCAGGTTGAAAGGTAATTCTTGAGATTGTCGAGTTGGTCTGACATTTTCATTTTTCTCTTTACAGGTGGAAAGAATTGACCACGCTTAACCAATGTTCTTAAAGTATTTATCTATGGAACTAGCAATTGTTATTTGTGCAAACCCCTAATCGTTACAAATGATCGAAAGAAACTAGAAACAAAACTAAGAATTAAAATTACATCATTAAGATAAACTTAGTGCAATCTATCATGCGTCCTTCAAGTTAAAGATCTTCAAAATAAACTGGAGTTGCTGATCAACGCAGAGAATCTCAATGTCGATCATTGGTTAATGGCTTCATATATGGTACAATCTTTATTAAAGAAGGCTTGAGCCGTATTCAATTAAAGATGAAAAAGTGTAGACGTTGGTTTTTCCTTGCTCAAACATTATGAATAACAATCTGCACAAAAACAAGAAAATAGTAATAGTATGCAAGATTGTTCGTATATTACATTCAAACAAGTTTGATCTATTAGCTCTCATTGCATGTACAATGAAGCAATCATACTATTCCATGTTAAAAACGTATACCTTGTAGAACATATATCATATGGATTAGAGTGGTGTATATAATAAGCACTAAATTGGCCAATTTAACAATAGTTAAAATCTATTTATTAAAAAAAAAAAGGAGAGAGCGAGAGAGAGTGCATTTAAGTAAATTAAAAAAGAATAATATTTCTTTATTTCAATTTCTCCTAAGTCTCCAATAAGATAAATTGTTAATATTATCAGGATTATGGGTTTTGTCACTAAACTAAGGGATTTTTGCCAAATGTACCATTTTTTCTCAATTCCTTTCAAAATCTACCACATTCATATCTTTCTTTCAAATCATACCACATTTACATGCAAAGTTACCATTTTGCCCTCAATATTTCACAACATCCACTTTTTCTATTCCCTATTAATCTCTCATCCCTCGAGATCCGTGCACTTTAACCCCACATCATTATCTCCCTTAGAGAAACACAAAACACTTTCGTCTCTCTCTCACTTTCCCTTTCTCTTTCTTCTTTAGATCTTGTCTCATAATAAACGCTTTCGTTTTGTCTCTAGATCTTGTCCCCGATTGAAAATTCTCTGTTGCGTCTAGATCTTGTCCCCGATTTCATCAGTTTGCTCTATTATCATGAATCCCAGATGATATGGTTTTACCAGCCTGCAGAGATCTGGATTTACTCGGGGACAACATCTCTTAATTATCCATCGCCAGATGGTGTAATTTTACTAGCCAGATATCTGGATTAACTCGGGGACAACTTCGTTTTACCAGACAGAGGGACGAAAACGGTTACCAATGCGCTAGGAGAGAGACAAAAAGGACGGCAGAAATTTTGTAAACGTGCAGCATTAAATGCAGACTGCTCCTTCCTGTCCCAAGTTGTCCCTTTCTCTGACACACACTTCTCTCTCAATCAAGGGCAATTTCGTCCGGCTTTAAGCATGTGGCATTGAAATGTGGTACATTTCAAAAGCTTTTCCCCAAATGTGGTACTGGGCCTAAACTTTCTCTGAAAAGTGGTACCCAATCTAATTTTTCCCTAAACTAATACTCTTCTTTTTTTTCTTCTGTCACTAGGTATATTATATGTTTATTTAATTATATTAGTAGTATAGGTCAAGGAAAAGAAACACATAGGCACATGTAAACGCGTTCCTACCAACAAACATGAACTTGTGGACATATTTCATACACACTGTTACTAAAACATATATGCGTATATTTCGGGAAATCAAGATGTCATACTCTGAAAATAACACATAATTGGATTTACTATAGGAAGTAAAATAAAGAAAAGACAAGTAAATCTATTGTTACCTCGAATTGTGATAGAGGGAATCGTAAAAGTTAACGCGGAAACGCCTTTCTCATGAAAATTTAGTTTATCTTGATTTGATATTGTTGGTGATTTAGTGACTGAAGCTGCAGGATGACCTAGTACTACTATCTATACACACACACATACACAAAATGCATGCATGTAAACTATGTATATATATACACACATGCATGAATCCACCGTAAATATATATTACAAGTAGGCAAAGAACTAGAGATCACTAATTATTAAAAAGAGGAAGGAAAAAAGCTTTAAGTTGTAGGAAAAAAACTTTTATAGGTGTGGAAATTAACTAGTATATGTGTGTATGTCGTATGTAGCAATTACCAGATCATGCTGGCAGCTTCAGCCTCTAAAAACCAGCATAGATATAGATCCATGTAAATCGTACATGGACACGATAATTGAAAAAAAAAAGAATGAGAAGAGAAATGACCCTTTTTGAAGGTTTTTTCCAAGATTTTTGAGTTTTTAGGAGAGGGCAAATTAAACATTAACAAGAAGAAAAGCTAAGAGACAGGAAAAATGTCTAAGCTTGATAATCTTAATCGAGATTCTTCTCTTTCTCTCTCTCTCACACATGTATATAACAAAAAAAATTATCAACAACAGCAACTTTGAATAATAATAATTGAAAAAAGAAATAATAATAATACACGTTACACAGATGCTTGTTTGTTTGGATAAATGGACCACAAATGTGTATTTTCCTGTTTTTATTGTTTTGTCAACATGTGTATTTATTTTGGGTATAAGATAAAATGTCAATATAAGTTAATACAGTTGCGATCATGATAATTTGTTATTGTATATAAATATCGGTTTATCAATATATTAATATTTCTTAATTATATATTTAATCTATCAAAGTAGATATTTTCCGTGAGAATTTAGAGGAATATGTGTTTGGACAGTTTCATTCAAATATTATTAATGATTTTAACTATCAATTTTTTTTTTACTTTTGGCTTAACCAAATACAATATTTTTTAAGTAAGAGAATAACAAAGTTATCGAGTATATTGATTTTCTGTTGTTGTCTATATATGAGATACTAGTTTTTAATAGTTCATATTGCAGTTCTTTATTGACAGCCAAGTGTTCCAAATGGCATAAATAAAGAGAATTGTTTAGTTCAAATATGATGTGGTAGAATTTTAAAAAAAAGTTAGCAGTATATAGACGGTTAAAGGATTAACACCATAACATTATAAAATATGCTTACGTGTATACAAACACATTAAATGGCAGTTTTTATCTATTTATAACCTACAACTTCAATTCAATTTAAACAAAAAAAAAAAAAATCATACAGTGTTACGTTGGTCCCTCCTCAAAGCCAAGGAGAATTGTAACTCAAGAACACAAGAACTGTTTTTATCAATTTTCAAGTCTACCTCATTACCATGACTTAGAAGTCTTTAAATACACAAAGGAAAGCAAATGACCGTTCACAAATCCTACAAACTAGGAAACATGGAGAAATGGGAATGTGGAGATCAATCCCCTAAAACTTAGGAACACATGATCGTAATTCTTCTTTTCACTATGAGGCCTGTACCAATTCTTCTCCGGTTTAATCTTGATTATGATCTTATCATACAGAAGGAAATTAGTAGTAGTAGGCTCACCTACTCAAATCTAACATAGTAAACTTTTGTTTTTGTCTATTTCATATTTCTGCTTTGTTAAAAGAAAAAAAAAAATCGAGTTTCGATCTTCAAAAAAAGAAAAAGAGAAGATAGGGTTCGGGAATTAATGGCTGAGACAAATGAAAAGGATACGACCAAATCCGAAATCTTCATTGCATTTGCACGCGTCTTCTGTCTTATTGCATCTCCTCTTTCTTTTTGTCCTCAGCCCTCACTATCCAACATGTTCACACATACATGCATACACAAAAACACTTACACATATTTGTAAATTTCTATGTGAAACCTTCAATTTTCTGCACGAACACTGATAGTAAAACGTTCGAAATAGATTCTTAGACATATATGTACCAGGCTCCGGATCATTAGTAGAATAAATTTGATATATTTTTTGAGTTATGTATGTAATCATATTTCCACGCACAACAACACCACATTCTTCTAATCAATCACAAAACTGCCCATGTTCGGATACAATGTATTTGTATTCATCACTAATTATACTAGTACTAGTATATAAGTGTATTAATTGGTGTGACAAGAAACAAAAATAAGTGTATTAATGGATGTGCTAACAAAGTAGTAATAAATAGACGTTGGCATGACAAGATTTGTTGGAAGATGGAGTTGTCTTGAGTAGTGTGTTGTCTCTTGTCATCTCTAGTGTCTTTTGTTTTGTGTATTTACTTATAAAATCGAACATTTCCAGTTGTACGTAAATATATATACGTACTACATTTTTTTTCTTACAAACTAAATATCCACTTTAAGTTGACTCAATTAAGATCTGTTAATTTTAACTTTTAAACGAAGGCATTACTAATTAGTTGATATGTCTCTTCATAATATAAAATATGTACATCACTTGTCTTCATAATAACTACAAAAAAACAAGAAACAAGTATAACGCTATGAGTCTATGCATGATAACTCCATTAATTGTTTTCCTTGTTTTTGTTGTTATAATTGACGTAAATAATTTAATAATTGGGTCCATAGAAACGTGATTATGTTTTAATGTCTCCCATGATTAGAATAAGAAAAGATAATTAGACTTTATTAAGTGTGACGAAAAAAAAATCCCCACTCGTCTTTTTTGTTTGTTTGACAATTAGTTTGTGAAAGATTCGTTAACCAAACCAAATCAATGACGTGATTATTTGTGTCTGTCAATCAGCATCTGCCAGACTGCCACCTAGCATTTACTAGTTTATTATTATTTCAAGGTTGGTAGTTAAAAACAAATACAATGTTCTTTACTCTTTTAATTACCTGCTAGTTGCAAATTAAAAACTCAAAAAAAACTTTATTACAATGAAAAATTCACAACCATAGCAAAATATCGAAGATGAAAACAAGTCAAACAAAGATTAATTGTGTTTCAAGTTAAAAACATCCAATACGTCGTAACTCTTTAACCTTGTGTGTTGCATCATTACTTCTCTATCTTTTGTATACTCTGTCTCTGCATTCTTTCTCAGTCTCTGTTTTAGTGTTTTGCATTCTTCATGTTCACTTCTAAGCTCAGTGTTTTGTGCTTAAAGTGGTTGAAAGTTTGAGTCTTTGAGAGGTTTAAACTTCTTAATATGATTGCAATTTTTTGTACAATTGCAAGAGTTTGTAAATATTGCTACTAGTTCTGCTTCTTATTTGGCAACTCGATTGTATCTTCGACAGCGAATGCAGAATAATAGAAAGAACATCCAAATTTACGAGCTCCCTTCGAGTTACCAAAGTACACCTCGCCTCGAAAAAAGTCATGCGTCACCTATACTAATCGGAAAGACATTGCTCTCTTAGTGTTACATGGTTCTTATAGCATTTATCTCTTTCTCTTGCTACCAAAGAAGAATTACTAAAGAAATGAAGAAGTGATCACATACCACTCTAAAGCTTCTAACCTCCCTTGGGCATGAACGCAATCTGCAGCCAAATTCTTTCTATTGCGAAGATAACCCGAAGATTTGAACCAAGTTACATGTAAACCGAGATGAATCCAACAGATGCGGAACATGGCTCATTAATGTTCTGTAAAGAGGATAGGTATATATTCTTGACCCAAAGAACCCTCTGCACAAAGCTTATGCGAGAACGGAACAATAGGACTCATACATACAAAATGCCACCTAAACGCTGCTTAGATCTTCAAAGTTATCAATCAAGCTATATATAAAGAACACAGCTTCCTTTTCTTGATCATCTCGGCCATCATAAGATCCAATTTACGATCAAATCATTTGAACAGTTGTTTCTGCTACTTAGTGCACAAATAGATTGTAGAATCCAGTCACTAAATCTATCACAAAGATTGTACAAAGTTCTTATTCTTTACTTAAACATAGCCACTTTCATATCATACACACTCTCGAGTTCCTATCATAAAATTCTCTCAGCGAAGATGATGCCTGTGGAAACCAAAGAACCTTCAATATAAGCAAATCATCAATCCAAAAATTGTCATTCTTTAAAGAAACACATACCTTAATGTTTCCTTTGTTCCTTTACGAATTTTGCAACGTATAGTTGGAAGCCCTAGCTTCTGATGCGCCTCGTACCTGTGACAACCCGAGAACCCTAAACCAATGGAAAAATTTATCATCTACTAGCTTTCAAGAACAGAAATCACCAAGAACAAGAAAATTCATAAAAGTACCATAGTAAGTTCCATCAACTTCAATCACATCGATCTGTTCCACAAACAAAACACAAAATTAGATTTTGAAATGTGTGCTTCTGGATTTGATGAATATGAATCCAAGAAATTGCTTAACCGGAACTTGAAGACCGATTTGACGGATACTATCCATAAGCTCCTTAACTTTGTTCTGATCGTTGGATCTTGTTCGCATCAACGGTCTTCGTATCTTATCCAACGGTAATTCCACGATCATCGGACCTACACCGCCGCTAGGTCCTCCGATCACCGGCGGCGAACCTGAAATTAAAATCAAACACAGAGACGCAGCAGCTTCAACTTCAAGCTTGAATTTCAGATTACTGTGTAAGAATTAGAGCTTAAGAGCGTTACCGTTAGATGAAGAAGCTGAAACAGAGAAGCTTCTCAAGCTAATTGGTAATCTCATCATCAAATTCGCCATTGTCGCCGTCTCCTTCTCCTCTCAATCTCTAGAAAATTAAAATAATATTTATTTGAAAATAATTGTGAACGAAATATAAAGATTCAAAACGACGACGTATGTTGATAAATTTCCACACAGATGAATCTTTTTGCTTTTCGGATATTAGACCATACGCAGCGACATATTTTCTACTGGGGTGTGAGGATTAAAAAAACAAAAGTAATCAAATAGTAAGGAGAAAGACAACATCCGGGTGTGAAGTAACAACTTCTCTCTCGTCGAGTGTAAGATGACGTGGCGTGCTGTGAGTCGCCGAAATCCTCTTTTTCTTCTCCCACATTTTTTTTCCTCTCTCTCCTTTGATTTTCTACACAGACATCTTTACCCCACTGTTATTATATTATTAAATTGACTTAAATATATATACTCAAAAAACCCCATGGGGTTTTTAACAATATTTTTTTTTATAAATTTTGCATTAAGAATTTTATTAGGAGATTTTAATTTTTTCCTCCTCCAGTGGTAAAACCCTATTAGGAGTTCTTAATAACAAATAATTAATATTTTAAAAATTATTTTGTTTTAAATATATTTTATATTTCAAAGAAGATTACTAAACTTAATTCTCTAGTTTTTGTATCTAAATGCATAAGATCAAGAGGAGGAGGAAAAAGAAAAAAAGGCGTTGATGTGAGAGCAGAGGAGTTCATTGCTAACTTCTGTGAACAGATGAAGTTGCAGAGGCAAATCTCTTATTTGCTATACAAACAACACAACGAAGTCGTATGATGAGTATCGAACGTGTCTCCAGTTAATTCATTTTTTTTTGTTTATTATCAATATGTACCTAAGCAACTCATGCTCTGTGTGGTACCTAATCACATTGTTAAAATAGAAAATAAAAATGAGATCCACAAGTGATAAGCCACTCAAGATTCAGAGAAGAGAATAATACATGTTGAAGATTGGGTGGGTAAGATAAGGGCTCTCTCTTGTTAGGCTAGAAGGAATGAAATTCTGAACCTCATGTGCTAGAGTAACAGCCGTAAATTGAACCCGAAGCGAATTGGAGGTAGTCGAATTGGAACTCGACAATTTTATCAAAAAGTCAAACTAAACTTTAAGATTTAAATAATATTTCGAAAGTTCATGCTTTTTTCATCCCAAATTTGAAAGTTCGCGTTATTTTCGATACTTTTCCCACTTTTTTTTGGCTTGTCAAAAAATCCTAGCCAACCACACGATGACACGTCATGGTTCTTATGATTTCTAAAGGCTCTGATTTAATGGATCAGTACATAGGTGAGTTTTGTTGAGTATCAGTAGCCCAAAAAACATATTTAATAGATCAAAACAAGTATTTGGGCTTGATCCGTATCAGTCCACTTATACCTTTGATACTGAGTATCGGGTGACGTGGCAACATTTGATTGGTTCAGCGTTTTCGCTGAAAGCAGAGAAAAAAAAAAAACATTTCTGCCACTCTTCTCTCTCTCTCGGGAGAAAACCTAAAAACTTCCGCCGATTTTTGATTGGAACTCTCCTCCGTCGATTTCTCCTCTCCTCCGCCGATTTCTCCTCTCCTCCGTCGATTTCTCCTCTCCTCCGCTGATACTCTGTCGTTGCCGAAGGCGGAAGCAGAAGAAGAACAACAAACGATCCTTCTTCGATGTAGAAGAAGGGATCCCCAGAAACAGGTAATTTTTGTGTTCTGATCTCTCTCTCTCTATCTGTTCACGATCCTGGTGATTTTCTAGGGTTTTTTCTTGTATCATTCTCTGTGGAGTTTTACCCTGTTTAATTTCTAGAGTTTATGATCAATTTTCTTTTGTCGATTGCTTTTATTCGTAGGTTTCAGAGGATGTTGTGGTGGAGTATGTTCCGGAACAACCAGAATTGGAAGATGGTTTCGACGATGAATTTAGGAACATCTTTGACAAGACATTGGTCTCAAAAGAGAAAATATTTGCAGGTTTGTGATAATTGATGCTGTAATTAACAACGTGTCTGTGGTATTGTGGGTGGATAGCACATATGGGTATTAAATCAAAAGTGATAGATTTTAGGGTCAATTAAGCTTCCTTATACGAATATATAGCTTCTTGCAGGAGAACATCTGTGATAACCATGAAGCCTGGACTTGTAGGTGAAGGAGACTGTTTATTGTTTTCTGCTTCAATGAGTTTTTGTTCTGTTCTTCATTTTAAAATCGTTTTGCTTATGTCATTTGCAGGAGATGACAAGTAAAATTATATGCAAGTACAAGATGGCAAGTACAAGTAAAAGAAGATGACAAGTAAAAGAAGATGGCAACTTGTTGTTAACTCTTTTGTGTTCTGTTCTTCATTTAAATGTCGTTTTGCTTCTGTCATTGTGTCACTGGTATTCATTTTGCTTCAGAACCACAACTTTTTGTAGATGCAAGTGTTCTGTGTATAGCCATGTTTCATGTTTGTGTGAAGAACAAGAGAAATGCATATCTTTTTTAATCAATATGCAAGACACCATGGAGACGATCCGCGTCCTGCAACCACACTCATCCGATGGCTTGACAAGCACGTCCGCAACCAACTCTCGGCAATCAAATCACTGGGCGATAGACGTTACGACCAAGCCTTACAAGCATGGTTCGCCGTCCAAGCTTAACGTGGAGTGCTCTGTTTTTTTCTCATAACCTCTGTTTCTTCAAAAGCAAAGCTCAATCTTAATCTTCTGTTTTTTATATTTTCAAAAACAATGCTGATGTAACAAGTATATTTTTTTTCTTGAATATAATTTAACATTTTATTCAAAAAAAAAAAAAAAAAAAAAAAACAATATGCATATCTCCACAAAACCAATACACAAACCAAAACACATAAACTTGAATCAAGTGATTTGATCAAATTTTCTCTACAAAACCAAAACACAAACACATAAACCAAAACACATAAATTTCAAAAATTTAAATTTAAAGAACCTCATTAGAGATTCTACCATTGAAGTATATCAAAAATAAGAATTCATAAGGGGTATCTAAATTTTTTTTTTTTTTTTGCAATATTTGAATTTTAAATATGGTTAAGAGCCCCTCAAACATTTCTACCATTGGAGATGCTCTAATATTATTTTATGTTTTTTTGAATTTTATGTTTTTTTTTCCTTAAGTTTATTCTACGTTATTTTGGATTGTAATATTACCTTTTGTAATCCTATGTTTTAATATATTTATTTTCGATTTTGCAAACAATTTTTTTTTATGATACTTAAACCGGTCTCACCAATGGAAACATATTTAGTACTAGTATCATAACAAATCTCAAAAATAAACAAACATTAAAATTAATACTAAAAAATTGTTAATGATACTCATAAAATATCACCTATGTGCATGCTCTAAGGAAAGTTCAAACAATAATTAATTATTTTGATTTATTTTTAAGGAATGTTATTGGTTTTTGATTTAAACAGTATTTCGATGACTTTAATAAAATCATAAAAAGTAAATAAATGAATGTTTTCTATAATCTTGTTGATTAATTGTTCCATTATTTGTTAAAATTTCCCAAACGATCTCTACTTTTTAAAGATATTTTTAATGATTTTATTTTGTGAAGAATAATGTATAAAATCATAAACTACAAAAAAAAATCATAAACCAATAACAGAATAATTTAATTCATTAGCAATCAGAGATTCTTTTGTTTTAATTGAATAACACAAAACTTTTATTGACTTTATAAGATTCTGAATTTAATAACTCCAGATTTGTCAATATTTTACAAGATTTTTTTACAAATCAAAAACTAATAACACCATACTTTTAACAGAAATTAATAAAATTTTGATTTAATTACAACAGATTCTACGTAACATTTAAAATCATTAAAATAATATTTAAATCACAAACCGACAAACACCTTGATCTTTCTTACCTTAAGAACTCTTCTTGAAAACCCTTTAAAAGCCTCCATTGGACATGGTCTAAATAACACGTATGGCCAGGATAAAGCTAAATCGATCGGAATGCATCCCGAGCTGATCGATTTTAATGAAATTTCGAACAACCTTGACGAGGAGGAGAATATGACGTTTCCAATGGGTGGTGATACGGAGGACTACGACAAGCCTCGAGTGGACACATTAGATGTAATTCTTTTCTTTCATCTTCTGATTGTTTAGAGGTTGATCACGATGTGTTGGAATTTATATCATAGTTTTGATTTGTTGGAGATGACTAGTAGATTTCCATCGTTAGATTAGAACTGGTTTGTTTACATATTACTAACTGATTATTTTTTCTGTTAGTATTTCGATTTTGATGGTAGTATCAGTCGCTCTTTTTTGCTGAGAGCCTACCACTGTGAAGGTGACGAGTGTCGTAAGCATACTTATCTTGCCTTGGTCAAGCTTTATGCCAGGGCGGGGCTTCATCTTTACAATATGTTAAATGTAAAAACTAGCATCCTCTCTTTGTGCTTTTATTGACATATCTGTTACAGTTTCTTGTTTTCTTGATCTGCCAGGGAAAAAACTTGAAGCTCGATCGCCTAAAGAGATTTAACAAGGATATGCATTTTCTTTCCTCATACTACATAACTTTGCTTGCATTCGATCCAACCAGCCGTTTGCAGGAAACCTTTCAGGTTATAGTTGATGATAATTGTTTTGGCAGTTTGGATTTCATATGCCCTACTGCTAGACCTAAACCCCTAGGTAAAAGTTTACTTGTGGTGAATTGTTTATTTTTACATCGCAAGTTCAAGAAATCTCACTTGTTGGCTAATTAATGTTGCCTAGTGATCACCAAGGGGCGGCCCTTCATACCTCTTCAGGATGACACATCTGTGCCACCTTTCTACAAAGGTAGCTTGCCTGAGTGGCCACCAGAGGATGCTTTCAATGACAGAAAATGGGTTTACGTGGTAATTAATAGATTAATTAGTTCCACTTCACTTGTGTTGGCATCAGTATTGCTTTGCTCATGATAAGTTAAGTAGGGGTTTTTTCTGTTTTTTGGTAACTGCTTTTGCAGGTGAATGAATCAGAGTTGCAAAACACTGATTGGATTTATCTGTATTTGGAACTTGTCATTTGTTCACGCCATAGGGAGATTTCAGATGTAAGTTTTTTCTCTTTTGCATATCAGTGACATACCTTGAATGGCATTGTTGATAATAAGAATTAACAAGTGTTGCTCTGCTGTAGGGCGATCTATCCAAGTTGAAGATTGTGAATGTGGCGATAGAAACTAGTGAAGAAGTGGAGCCGCCTAATGAGCGACTCAACGCCAAACATGCATTTGTCTACATAACTTTTAAGGGCTTGGCCATTGGTAGGACTGGTGAACATGTTGAACGCAAAGTTATAGTTAGAAGAGTCATCAATGAGCGTGAAGGATACTTGTATCTCAAGGGTGACATTTGGAGTTGAATGTAGAGCTCAAAATCCATTTGCAATGCTTTCGCTTAGGCGTTGTTGACAAGATCTAGTGAAAATGTGGACCTGATAATAAACGACTAATGGACTAAAAATTATTTTGTGTATTTGGAGTTGGACACTATTTAAGTAGATTTGTGTGTGTGCTGTCTTCGGATACAGTAATTAACATATACATATGTGCATTGATAACTGAATGATGATATACATTCCTCTTAGTGGTTTTAGACGTTTTAGTTTTCCTTTTTCATTTCCCATTCTAGTCCTATATGAACCCCTACTTCTGAACATTTGTTTAGTCAAGTCGTCTTTTGTTGTCTTCTTGAATCATCAAATCATCGTTCAGCTTCATTTGCACCACCACCACCACCACCAAGATCTCATCTCTAACATCTCATCACCTTCGCTTACAAAACTTTTTATATACCCATTCGTTTACACGAGCTCCGAAATGACAGTGCAAGTGTTAGAGATGTGATGACTGATGGTGACCCATGCAACTGAAATATCACCGACACTGTTTTTCTCGCTGAAACGTGATATTACTGTTCACTTCCTCGTACGATATTCTTTCCTTAACTCTTAGCTCATCAATGCAAAAACACATAAGACCAGTTGATAACTTGATTATTTGCAATTTTTAATTGGGTGATCTCAATATGTTTCATAAGATCCACATATATTGTGGAACCTAATTGTTTTACAGCCCAATCCAAATTAAAGAAGAGATTTAGAAGAAGAGCCCAATGAGAGTCTAGGGATAAGAGAGAGTTTTGAGTTATCGAGTCTAGTGTTACCACATCCGAAGAAAAGAATAGGATTTCAAATCCAAGCTCTACACCTTCCTCTCTTCTCGCTAACTCCCACAAAAAAAAAAACCTGTCAATTCATTTGGCTGTCATATAGGCAGAGAAAACAAACACTAGACCATCTAAGAAATCAAGGGAACAAGTAAAAGGACCATGGTTCGAATATATGTTTGTGCTCTAATACCACGACATGTGTAGAACATTCAATTGCGTAGCCTTCTTTTTTTTTTTTTGTGTAGCAAAAATTAGCCAAGCTTTTATTTTTATTTTTGGAATCCTTCATACGAAAAATGTTAAATTTTAGCATTTTACAGATGACAATTACATAAGTTAAGTAGTATAATTTACGATCCTTTAACATAATACTCGATGTCAACTTTCTAATTCTTGCCCCCCAAGTTACCTTCAATATAAAGCTTGCTGGTGGTACACTTCATTCTTCACAAGATTTGAAACCTTATCTACTTAGAAGTGGGATTATAATGGTTGTGTAAGGGCTCAAACGCAAGAAATCAGAGCTCTAGCTGTTGCAGTGACAATAAGTTCGGAAGGTCAGTGGCTTCTTAAGTTATATGCAAGAAATACTCATATTCCCCTGCTAATATAGTACTGTGAACAAGGCTTAACATAAAATTGAAAGCAGAAAGGGATCACAGAACAGGTTGAACGCATAAATATTGTGAAATGATATAACATGTAATTGTTTTGTTGATTTTTATGGCTATGTTATGCGTTGTGTTATCGGACTCGTAAGAAAGAGACACAAGTCTGGTCCATGGAAGGAGCAAGCAAACAGAAGAGGGAAGAAGGAATAACTAGATTTGAAGAGGAGATCAAGTAAAGAAGAGAGGAAAATACGGACCGATGAGAGCGGAAACTAGCCAAGGTGAATTCAGGATGGTGGTTCACCTCAACCGAGAAACAGCAGATCGGAGCTGCAGGTGGTGTTGAGAATAGTCGAGAAAGAGGAGAAGAATGGCAGTTTCGAGTTGGGGGTTTTAGGAGTGAGTTTCTGGTCAGATATAAGCACGTGAGACAAGAATCATGGTGGATATAGATAGAGATTGTGTTGGAGAAGCCATAGGAACTGGCGATGTGTCAATCAGAGTTGAGCTCCAAAAGTTATTCATGTTGCTTCCTGCGCAAGAAACATCTCAAACTGGTCAACCTAAAACCCTAAAAAATAAATCCATGGTGGCTTCTTTGGGGCAGCCTTTGGAGGTCTAAAAGTAGTCTGATAATTTATTTATTTAATCATTTTCTTTGCTAATTTTCTATAATATTTTCTTAACTAGCACTACTTTCTTTAGTCGGTTATAGTGATGAATTAAAGTTTTATCAATTACATCTGATTGTCTAGCCTTAAGTTTTATCAATTCTTACCGGTGGGAGTTACAAGTATGTCTTTCTTTCTTGAATGTTTTGATTTCTAGGATTATATCATTGCTAGGTTAATTCAAACATCGTATAGCTTGTAATATGGTCTGAGTTGAGTCTAGTTTGAATTACAGATATGTTAATATGTCTATAACAACCCAACTCGTGAAAGGTAAAACAAATACACATGTCCGATTAGATTTATGTTGTACTTTTGTTATATTTACTCTATACAAAATTTTAAAATTTAACTAGACCAAAACAAAACTTGTACGTCTAAATTATACAATGTTGTAATTTTAAGAGAAATGTTTTTTTTTTTTTTGGTTTCTTTTAAACGAAGGTGAATTGTGTGTGGGATAGTTATACTCCACGTTTGATCTACTCATGTTTCTTTATTGCCCAAAATATAAATTTCATCTTATTGACTACGCAAATTAATACTTAATATGTTGATATCGACTGCTGACTGGTGGGATCATCAGTCCGTGTCATTTACATGCGATTCCGTGGGAGAAAGCAACATTCCTTTACTTATCAATATGATTAAAGAAAAAAAATGTATAAATCTACAGTGTAAAATTACCGTTACAGCATCCATGACCAAACTTCAATTAGAGACTATATAACTAAATCAGTATTATTGAAGAGTAAAACTTTATCTCGATTACTTCGCTACTATACTAAAGTTAAAGACGTTGTAACTTGTCTTTCTTACGATTTGGTGGTTTGGAGTAAGATTCGAAAAATCTTAACATTTGTAACATTTTTATTTATTTGATAAAAGACCAAAATTTGTAAATTGAGTGATTGGGAATTTATGATACTCGCTAGTCAAGTTTATACATATTACAATAAGAAACAGAAGAAAGAAAAGAAAAAAAAAAACTCATTTTGGTGACTTTTGAAGTTGTGATGAACAATTCACCAGACCTGATTTTTTTTTATATTTTTTTTTAGTTATTATTGTCAATTCTAGTTAGAAGATTAATGAGCGGTCGTCTGATCCATTTATTAGATTTCTCTATACGAAATTAAGGTATAACTAAACAAAACAAAAAAATGTTAACTTAAAAAACAAAAAAAACAAAAACATGTTCAAAGAACAAATACGACAGAGTACGTGTGTGTGGGATATATACTAGTTGAGTTCTTAATTATACTCCAACGTTGAAATCTACTCTTGTCTTGTTTATTGAACAAAATATAATAGTCAGTTTATTGACTATGCAAATTAATAATATTTAATACGTTTGAAGCTTGCCTGAAATATAAAGTTGATGATGTTGATTGCTAACTGGTAGGACAATTAATCAGTCCATGTCATTTCCATGCGATTCAGTGGGAGAAAGCAATGTTCCTTTACTCGTCAGAATGATCTAAAAAAATGTATCACATTCCACAATTTAAAAGAGGTACAACTAATCAAGTACTATTGAAGTAGAAAATTGAGAGTTATATAGAGAGTTCCTGAAAGAAGGTAAATATCATTTTTTTTTTTTTTTTTATATTGACCCTCGTCTTTTAATGCTGCGATGAAAGCTTTAGAATTGGTCCAACTCAACACATTTGGCTCCATATTGTGCTATTGTCTAATTTTGTAATTATTATAATCATCTTTTAATGCTGTTAAAAAAAGTTTATGTTGTGTGGGTTTGATTATAATCTTCTCAAGGAAGGTGTATTATCTATATATATGTAGATAGTTTGATGACAACTACATTAATGACTTTGACCTATCCCATCTAACTTCTTCTTTCTGTAGAATCTTTCTAAATATAAAAAAAGTTTCAACGCGTTTGAATTTTGATTTCACCCACTCAAGTAGTTAATGTGGTACACATGTGAGTTTTCATGTTAGTAAAGAAATTGTGCAGGCCAAAAATGATTTCACCTAGTGTCTCAATTAACTCTTACGTAATTGATTCTTTTTTAAATTCATTATTACAAAAAAAAATAAAAAATGTTCGATCATAACAAATTCTAGTGTTGAAGAAATCATACTTGGTTATATATTAGAAAGTGACACAAGAAAAAAACAATATGAATATATTGTAACTCGTTGTTCAAAATATATATATATATATATATATATGTAAAAATGAATATCGAATATTAACTTCACATTATTTAAAAGGACAAAAAAGAAATGTGCAGACCAAATTTGTTTTTTGACCAAATTAATTTAATCTGCCTAGCTAGCGTATCAAATAACTCTTTATACATTAATGAGAAAACACAATAATATAAAATGGTGTTGACAAGTGAATGTTATGAAACAAATATCAATGCATGGGCAAGTCCCTCAACTTTGATGAATGGAGCTACCTATATAAATATATATCATGCAGCTACCCAATTTTTCATGTTATAATAGGGGTTAACTCGGATATATAGCACTTAAATAAAATGGCACTTTAACACAGTTAGACAAATATACTCGAATGGTATAACTTATACAAATTAAAAAAAGCTTAACTCGAGCAAAGAAAAGTATGTTACGTGTTTGAATCTAGCTTCAATCTTCTTTATTACCATTTTTGAAAAAAGTATAGGTGATGAGTGAGCAAATATGATCGTTCTGTTGGAGATGACTCAGATCGATGAGAGTTTGTGTAAATTAATATGTTCATCAATCTCTCAAGTCTTAACTAAAATGGCAACATATATGGTTTAGGAAAAATGAAACCCACGCGAAACGCGTATTCCTATATGAAGAAAGTCTCTGGGAAAGAAAAACCAATGATTCCTTCAATATCCGGTTTATTCCGATTTACACCCGGTTTATTGT